GGGGGGGTGCTGACCCAAGCAGAGCCCCCTCCCCAAATCCAGGTGCCCCCCACACTCACCTTGTCCAGCTGCTCGATGTGGATGTAGTGCAGGGTGGTGCTGGTGGCCTGGAGGGGTCACAGGAGGGTCAAGGGGTGGCCCCAATGATTTGGGGACCTCCTCGTGTCCCCAAATGTCCCCAAATGTCCCCAGTGTCACTCACCCTCTTGTCCACCTTCACCTCGACGCCCGGCTCGGCGTAGAACTCGAAGTGCAGGGTGGTGGCACTGGGGGGGTATTTCTGGGGACAGGGGACACACAGGGGTGAGATGGGGACAGCAGGGTCCCCTCCCCTGCGGTGACAGAGCCAGGCTGGGGGACACTGGGACACAGGGAAAGGGATGAGGGGACCCCGGGATGCAACAGGGGGTGACAAAGCGGTGTTGGGGGACAAGGGAAGGTGTTGGGGAACCCAAGAGGTGACACCAAGAGGGACAGGACAGCATTGGGGACACCAGACAGTGCTGGGGACACTGAGATGGCATCAAGGGCCTCAGGATGTGACAAAGGCACACGAGGTGATGTTGGGAATGGGTCACACCAAGATGTGACAAAAATGTTAAAGAAAAAAATCTCTGAGACACAGGTGAGCTTTGGGGACCCCCAGGACAGCACAGGGTGACACAGGGGAGTTCTGGGACAGGACAAGGTGACATGGGTGAGCTTTGGGGACGCCCAGGACAGAACAAGGTGACACAGGTGAGTTCTGGGACAGGACAAGGTGACACAAGTGAACTTTGGGGGAGCCCCAGAACAGAACAAGGTGACACAGGTGAGTTCTGGGGACCACTGGGACAGGATAAAGTGACACAGGTCAGCTGTGGCAAATCGCAGAACAGAACGAGGTAACACAAGTGAGCTTTGGGGACCCCCAGGACAGAACAAGGTGACACAGGAGAGCTTTGGGGACCCCCAGAACAGATGATACAAATGAGTCCCAACAAATCCCAGGACAGAACAAGGTGAGCCACACAAGCCCAGGTGACCCACAGCTGCCACTCACCATCATGTGCAGGTCCCTGCAGCACTCAGCCAGCCC